TTGACTTCAAACTGTTAGAGTCAGTTATATATATATATATATATATATATATATATATATATATATATATATATATATATATATATATATATATATATATATATATATATATATATATATATATTAGGAATATCCACTTTGTCGTTCATGTTGGAATTTTAATACGCAGTATTGAAAATGAGTGGCGCAGAGGTCATATTTATATATGAAAAAAAATATTTTAATTAGAAAATGACTGGAAGTATTAGCATCACAAGTCTAAAGTTTCGTTTTTTGTTATTTTTGACCAATTTTACACCAAGTTTTGACGATTGCCAGGAATCGTATCCTTATTCTAAATTATTAAAAAAAAATTGAATTAGTATGATAGAGTCTTAACTAATAAATAAGAATTAGTATGTTACATTTTTTTACATATAATGGGCCTATCTAGTTAAAACAAAACCTTAAAAATCACTATAGTATAATGTTTTAATCAAACAGAGTGTATATATAATAAACACATATTTCCATTGCGTCTAAAAATAATTTCCATCTTAACTCCACTTCTATGATTAAGAGTTTACAAAGAGGTCTTAATAAGCGCAGTGACGCCAAAAGCATGCCCTTCCCCCCCCAATCACTGCTGTAGTGAGTTGATATTTTGCGTGGGTTGTGGGTAGCGGGAGGGGGGCATGTTTTTGTTCTATGAAACAAATAATGTTGGAGCGACAGCAGTAACTGACTCCTTGTACGCATTTTTTTTCGTTTTTCCTAGTTTTTTCCAAGCATTATTTAGTAAGAGTAGGTCCTTTAGCTTTGGTTCACTCTTGACGCGCTCAACATTGTCTTGGATAAGTTTTACAGCTCTTTCAGATAAATCGTTGACCACATTAACATTGAATAAGTTTTACAGCTCTTTCAGACAAATCGTTGACCACATTTTCTATATTATGCTCTAGAATGTTGAAGATTAACCATGATTCGGTAGAAACATAAGAAGCTAAAGATGGGGGATGATCGTTATGCTGCAAAACACTATAGCTGTAGATGGATCTAGGTACTTTATAACTGAGGCTAGCAACATTATAACTGTAGATGGATCTAGGTACTTTTGACGGTCTTTTGTCTTAGAATAGCTGCATCCTATTGTATGTTTTTGTCAGATATTCTGTGACAGAGGCTGAAGAATAATGTAATATCAATATTTCCACCAGCACTGGTAACAACAGAACTTATAAGTGCATTTGCTTGATTGTTGGAAATTTCCATTCCAATTGCAGTTCTAGCAGTTTTTGACACAATATCTCTGGGAATATGAGTACCTGACATTTAGCAGCTTTCTTCTATTTGGATTGAGTTATCTCAAAATCCTCATCATCAAAACTTTGATCAGTACACTCAAGTTCACAATCATCAAAACTAACTTTATTTTCAGTTAAAAAATTCTGCAGATATTTCTGTTCTGCCTGTACAGAAGAAATTTTCCTGACTTTCTCTTAATTTTGCTCTTGCACTGACCTGCTCAAAATGACCATCAAGTTCTCCTATCACCATTTTATGGCCTTCCATCTGGTCCTGAATAAAAAGTAAATCTTCTTCCTTGTCCGATATCAGTATGCATCTATAAAGCTGCAAACTTCTGTGAATTTCCAAATCATCATCCGTCCAAAACAATCTTATAAAAAAAAATTGTATCAGGCTTGGTCAGGAAGCGGGAGCGATCGCTCTCAAATACTGACCACAGAAATTATATTTAGTTGCGAAAAACTGGCCAGGTTTTTTAGTCGTTTTGAAAACATTTAAGTTTATGTACAAAACAAAAAATTTTTGTTTTATGGACATACATGGAAACATAAAAAACTTGAATGTTCTTAAAACATCTTGGCGTGAAAGAATAAAAAGAATATTCGTAAACCCTATAAACCCGCCAAATTAACAAACAAATTAATTTTATTGGTTTAAAAAATATCCTGACTTAGCAAAATAAAGTTCTAGAGTATTCTGTTGAAATGTTTTAGAAATTGCATTATTCACAATTTGTTACGTTTTGAGATTTCTAGCATAAATCGTTTTAAGAATATATATTATTTGTTCACAAAAATAAATGTTTTAAATATATATTAATTAAATTGTCAAAATTTTAAAATTTTAACATAAATTATAGATTTTATTAGTATATTCTTATTTTTTTATTTAAAAAGTATGTATTCTTTATGTAAATGTAATTTTGTGTATCTTTTTTTTATTGTAATGCAATTTTTATGATTTAAACAAAGACTTACAAAAATAATTGCGTTTTCAATGAAGTTATAATCGTTAAAGTTAATAAAACTAATTATATATAACAAGCATATAAAAAGTTTCTGGTTACTAAACACAAACAACGCATACAAAGTAACTCGCGGATGAACAAGCACCACGCCTGAGGTCACGACAGAACACAAATATATATAGCAAATAGTTAGATATAAAGAAAAGTTTTTAGATATTGGTGTACTAACTCTAATTATTTTCGCTTCAGTTGCCATTCTTAAAAACTCGTTATACTTTTTTCTGCCTTAAATACTAATTAAAATTAAAAAACCCACTCACTTAACATCAGCAATATTGTGAAGCAGTTTCGCTTCCTTGTCATAAAGTATTTTTAACCTTTTTAGTTGATTTCTATCATGTTAATTTAATTTCTATAGTAACTCAATGATTTAATTATTTCATTTGTTTATCTTACTAAGAAGAATTGCTTCAAATATGTTAAACTTTTCAAACTAGGTAAAACATAAAATAGGTATTAAACAAATTAACTTTTTTATTTATAAAATAATTTAGCTTAGATAAAACTAAAACTTGCAAGCTTTGATAAATAAAGAACATTTTTAAACAAACGTAAGCTTAATTTTATTAAAAAATTATAAAATAGCGATGTTTCGAAAACATTTGTTTTAAATGTAATTTATTTTCCTTCAAGTTTTTTTGCATTAAAAGATATTTTATTTTCCTTTTTTTTTTTTTTTTTTTTTTTGTAATTGTCTCTCATCGGTTCAATTAATCTTTAGCGCTTTTTTTTTTGCTTTTTAAAATGTTCTCAAAACAACAAAAAAATCTAGCCAGCTTTTTGCAACTAAATATTATTTACGTGGTCAGCAATCGAGAGCGATCGCTCCCGCTTCCCGACCAAGCCTGCTGTATAGCTAAATTGCGGACAAGTAATTAAAAGTTTCAGCGCCATCTTTGGAAATCTGTCTCTTAGAAACAGGTAATGTTGAATATTGCGCTTCCACAGAGTAAGCTGGTTTCTCTTCATCTTTTCCAAGGTAGCCCCTACAAGGAATCTTGCTCTACAAGTAGACCATTTAGGAACATTTAGTTTCTTTACTTTTTTTCCTATTACATGTTCTTTACTGGAATCCTCAGTTCCGAGCATAGTGACTTTTCAAGATACCCTTGTTGTCATTTTTCGTTTTATTTGACAGAAAGATTTTTGGATTAAAAATTTTGCTCCATTTTATTTTATTTTAAAAATCTAATTAATTAATATAATTATTTAATGATAATATAATAAACATATAATATAAACAAAATTATATAATAATCAATAATAACAATAACAAACCTATTTGATTAAGGAAGACGTAATTAAATTTAAAAACCTAATTAATATTTAAACTGTAAATTGAAAAACTAAAACATTTTTATCCATAAAAATTTACTTTTTTATCTGTAAATGATGACAATTGATACCAATGGCATAGTTACACTGTAGAAAGCTCTGGAACATTTTATGTCGATTACGTGGTTTTTGATCCACATTGCTCTAAATGAATAGAGGGTTCTTTAATGACAACTTTTATGGTATATTTGAGGATTTTTTTTCCTAATGACTATTTTTATGTTATATTTCTTTTTTTTTTACTTTACATAAATATTTGTAAAAAGCCAAAGTTGGATTTAGTGAAAATAAAAAAAAAAGTCAACTTCTTGTTGTGAGAGAATAAGAACCAATAAAAAAACAAACATACTTTGTTATTTTTTAAGTCATTGTAAAAAATTTGTAAACCTCATGTTTTGCTGTTTTATAATATTTTTGCTTTTTAGAAATAATAAAGTATGTTATACAACTTGATTAATTCTTATACACTAAATCTTTATTTGTTAATGAAGTTCATCTGGTTACAGTATGAGGTTTATTTTTCACCTTGGTTGATGGGTTCTTTTAGTGCCAGTTGGTGGAAAACACCATAAATTTCTAGAAAAAAGTTTAATTATAAATTTAAAACAATTGAAGCCAATACTAGCAGTAATGCAAACACGAAAAAAAATTCTACGCTAATAATATGATACCATAATATTATTTTTAGACATACTATGTATTAAAAATTCAACATGACCAACAAAGTGAATATTCCTAATATATATATATATATATATATATATATATATATATATATATATATATATATATATATATATATATATATATATATATATATATATATATATATATATATATATATATATATATATAACATATATATATATAACATATATATATAACAAACATATATATATAACATATATATATATATAACATATATATATAACATATATATATAACAGATATATATAACATATATATATATATATATAACATATATATATAACATATATATATATATATATAACATATATATATAACATATATATATATATAACAAACATATATATATATATATATAACATATATATATAACAAACACGAAAAAAAAATTCTACGCTAATAATATGATACCATAATATTATTTTTAGACATACTATGTATTAAAAATTCAACATGACCAACAAAGTGAATATTCCTAATATATATATATATATATATATATATATATATATATATATATATATATATATATATATATATATATATATATATATATATATATATTGCTTTTTTTAAAATATTTTCTGTTGTTGAAATAATTCAATAATAATTTATTCAAAATATTTTGAATTTATCTATTTAGACATTTTACTTATGAACTTAAGTACATCGTTAAAAAAGTTTTATCTTAAACGTTATGAGAAGATTGATGAACTACGACCACCATTAACATCACCAGATTCAGTTAGCATTTTAAATAGATTTGTTCAGTTGTGTGTGGTTGATGCTGTTGAACTACAATTGGATGCTGTTTATATTCATGATAAAGAACAATTGTTAAGAAAGCAATCAAGTTATAAACCAACTCCATATAATGAAGTGTTTGAAAATAAAGCATCTTTGATTTTAATTTCAGGAATAGCTGGTATTGGTAAAACATGGTTACTTAGAAAATGTGTGCTTGATTGGTCTAATAATTTACTTTTAAAAGATATTCAACTTTTGTTTTATTTGGAAGCAAGAAGGTTTATTCAGTATCAAAATATCTCTACAATAAATGAATTACTCAAGTTATACTACAAAGATGTTTTGAATGATTGTGATATCTGTAATTATTCCACCATGTTGGTAATAGATGGATTAGATGAGTTTATATATTTACATGAATTGTTAAATAATAGTTCTCAAAGTCAATACTCCATTGTGAATGCATTATCAGAACTTAAAAACTATAAAGCTATTATTTCTGGGAGGATTAGAGATATTTCCCAATACCAAAATACACTTTTAGACTGTAACGATAAATTAAACGTTCAAGTCATTGGATTTAATGAAGAGGGAATAAATGCTTACATTGAAAATAATGTCAAAGAAAAAAAGGATGATGTAAAACGTGTTTTGAAAGATTCTCCTATTGCAAAGGCCATGGCGTCTATACCTTTTTATTTATCATTAATGTGCACAATTATTGCTAATTTCACTCAAAGAAATGATTGTTCATTCTTAACTATGACAGATTTGTATGCTAGCATTTTTTTTTACTTCTTGCAAAAACATATTAACAAAAACAACAAACCTGTTTATAAAATGATGGAAGACGAGTCTAATAAAAGATTTGTTTTCGATATTTGTAAAGTTGCGTATCATCTGCTTAATCAAAGCAAAATTATTTTTTCCAGTGATGAAATGAAAAGTTTATTTGATGATTTCAACAAAGATGAGGATAGACTTTTTGGTTTCATAGAAAAAATTGAAACCAATCTTGGTTGTCATTATCAGTTTGTACACTTGACAATAATGGAGTTCTGTGCTTCTGTATATGCATACAATAATATTAGCGGTAAAGTTATTATGGACAACAATATACTTAGAAACTGTTTACCAATGATCTGTGGGTTATCAAACAAAAATAAAAACAGTTTTTTGAAGTTCCTAACTGATCTCGGTAATACAAACCCTGAGCAATTAACATTAAGCAATGTTTGTGGTGAGTTCTTTTTAAGATAATAATAATTTTTGTTAAAATTTTTTAATGATAATTAATTCCTTGTTTAAAAAATAATTTAAAATATTTAAAAAGAGTTTTATCTTGTTTTTGTCATTTTTTAGTAATTTTTTTTTTAAAAATCTCTAATAATGAAGTTAAAAAACTAAATCTCTAATCATATTCTTAATTATCTGCAAAGTGTCCTTGTTTGTGGTAGCTATAGTTGGTTATTTAGCCAAAAATAAAATCCACTTATAAGGATTTTGTTTTTGGTTTTTATTGACAAGCGTTATTAATATGTTTATTAAATTTAAATCCATAATTATTTTTTAAATATTTAAAAAAATGATATTAAGACTTTTTAGTATGTGTGTTATAAGGGTAATAGTATAAAAGAATAAAAACGAAGTATAATTAAGATCGTAGCCTTCTTCAACCAAAAAAAATCTAGGTTGATCAAGAAATGGTTAATAGCCCATTCATTGATCCAGCCAGAATATGGAAAATGTTTCAAGCTTCAAGATAAATGGTTGTTAAAACATTGTGTGATTAATCTTTAAGTTGAAACTGAAGTTGTAAATCTGAACATTCAGATTTATTTAACATTCATACATATTGAACATGAAAAATATATTAACATCATTTTTTAATAAACTGAATGTTAAATGTAAACATGTTGCAGTTAGACACTTCAGAGGTGTCACAAGTGACTTAAAACAAACAGCTTTATTACAAATATTTTTATCAAAGTAGAAAAAAATAATAATTCTTAAAGTTGCCTATAAACTGAGACTTAACAGTGCTCAAAATGGTTTTTATCTTAATCCAGATGAAACTTCTAATCAGCAGAGGCAATATTCTACATTTAGAATCAGGGTTGCAAAAAAGCCGGGTTTTTTTTGAAAAAAACCTATGATTTAAATTTTTAAATTCATTTTTTATTTAAAATTGCCGTATTTAGCTATACTTTTAAATTAAAAAAAGTCATTACAAGTTTTACTTGATTAAATTATATTCCCTATCAATATTACTGTTATATTTCATTATATATGATCTTAATTAGTCAATACATCATTATTTAATGTTCTATATATGAAAACAAGATTTGCTGCTTTTTCTACTCCCATTTGATTTTTTAACTTAGAATGAACAAGTCCAAAAGTTAAACAAATTCTTTTGATTCCAAGATAATTATTCTCCTAATAATTATCATACAATAATATTATAATAATAATAAATCGTTTTAAAAAAAAAAAAAATCATAATTCTATTGATTTTAGTAAGTAAAAATAATTGATTAAAAATTATATATATATATATATATATATATATATATATATATATATATATATATATATATACATATATATATATATATATATATGTATGTATATATATATATATATATATATATATATATATATATATATATATATATATATACATATATATATATATATGTATGTATATATATATATATATATATATATATATATATATATATATATATATATATATATAAATATATATAAATATATATATATATATATATATATATATATATATATATATATATATATATATATATATATATATATATATATATATATAAAATTGTTTTCAGAATTTTTTAAAATTGGTTTTGTTTAAGATTAAGAAAAGATAAAACTATTTATATTAAAAATTATTTATATTTGTGAACATAGGGTCAATGGTCCAGTGGTCGCCACCTCTTTCTAGTGGTTGCCGATTTGTGCTAAAAAACTTCTAGTGCAAAATTTAATAAACGAAAAGTACTGAACTTATGCTCAAAATAAACATCTATTTTAACTTTGTAAGTGATGAAAAAACTATAGTCGTAATGTTACCGTGCACACACAATTTTTTTAGCACAAATCGGCGACCACTAGAAGGGTGTTGTAAAGCATTAGTTTGGTTTAAACCAACATTTTTTCAGTTGGTTTTAACCATGGTTTTAACCAATGGTTTAAGCCATTTGGTTAAAACCATGCAACCCTATTTAGAATGTAACAGTGAAAAACTTGAATACCAGCAATAAAAACAGCTCTTTAGTTTTGCCAACTGCAATGGTAGAGTCGCAGACATTGATTGGCATTTGGGATTCTAATTGTGGAAAAAATATGATCATAAAAAACAAATGAATCAGTTCACAGCAAAATCGATTACAATGATTACAAAATGTCTTAATAGTTTTAGTTGTGTTGAAGTTGTCTTGTATACAAATCAACTTCATTAAATGCAGTGAAACTTGCCGAACTGCATAGCCTTATTCAAACTTCAAAAGTATCACTAAATCTTGACTTTAAAACAGAAACATGGCTTAAAGAAAACTCTGTTTCTAATCTTAAAAATTATATTTCATATAGGCATGATTCCAAATCTAATCTTCATGATGTAGTCTGCATCATGGGTATTATCAGAGATCTTTATCTCTGATAATACCCATGAAGTAACACATCTTAAACTTAACATTATGAACAAATTTGGTTTTCAGTTAATCTTGAAACTGGAAAAATATATACCCTCAGCTCACAGCAATGGCCTTGTAAATAACTAAATTTTTTTTAGTATAATTTTTTTTAATGTTAATTCACCTTCCCAAGGCCAAGAAGGCCACTACAGGCGAGGAGGCTACTTAATTGTGGTTATAACCCTGTCTCAACTCTATAACTCTGAAACACGATCCTTGACAAACAAGGCTGTTGCATGAAAAAATAATTTGATTGTGGTACCAGGGGTGTGGTGTAGTAAGTGACCAAGGCTCGGGCCCCATCCCTGGCCAAAAATGAGACTTGATAAACAACCAGGGTTGATATTTGACCGGGGCCAGGTTTGATAAAATATAGCCAGGGCCGGGACCGGATTTGTGACCGAGGCTGCATAAGCATTTATTCATTCTACAGTATATTTTTTTTTATTCAAAATTCATGTTATCTTTTGTATATATATGCATATACAAACATCATTATGATCAACAAGATTATCATAATCATAATTATTATCACCATCATCTTCTCTTTCGGCTAAACCATATAAATGCTAAAGTTTACATAAATATGAAAGAATATTGTATGCCAGTATCTGAATAAATAGCAAACATGTATGTTTATATCTGTAATATGCACGCATAAAGCTCATCTCAGAAGCTTTTATTCCTTCTGGAATAAAAGCTTCTAAAAGTTTAAAATAATAGAATTTAAAAGGTATATGATGGATTTGAGTAATTTTGAAATATCATCCCATCTTGTCATAGTTGTATTGAAGTTGTAGAGAAATATAAAGATGTGGCAAATTAATTTATACTTTGTAAAAATGTGAAAAATGTAAATATATATATATATATATATTAGCCAATCCCATAATTTTTTTTAGACAACCAATTTTTATGTGGAGTGGCTAATGAGTGGCGCAGAGGTCGTGTTTATATTTTAAAAAATTTATATTTTTTTATTTTTTTCTGATAGAAGTATTCGTGCAGATTGTTCCAAGTCACGCTTTTTGTGATTTTTGACTAAATTTAGGGCAAATTAGGTCAGGTCAGGTTTTCCTGCTACTGGTAACATGTAACCCAGTACAACCTGCTCCATGTCCTGCTGCCTTGTAGGATACGCTTTTTTAGGCAAAGGCTAGGAGAAGTTAACTCCGAATTAAAACACCCCCTGCCTTGGGGCACTTGGTTGAGTAAAGGCTAGAAATGGTGTCTCGATAAAAATACTCATCTTGGGCAGATGTTACATGCATCCAGCTGCTGTCTTGTAGAAGGCCTCCTAGACAAAGACTTAAGGGGTAAACAGATTCTATCTGTTGACCAGCTTCGCACCCCTTCCTCATCTATTAGGCTGGCGCAGATGTATTCTTAATACATTGTTTCCAGTTTAGGATGTTGAACGCTGGATCTTCTTGACTCAATGCGTGGGTATTGCTTGTGTCTCTATTTTTATGACTGGGCAACTCATTCTATTATCTCCTAATGAGGGTACAGCTCTAAAACTCAGTTTTATGGTTCTGAGGCCGGCTGGTAGTCAGGTTTCCCGAACTCTGTGGTAGCTCTCAGAGAGGCTGATTCCATCAACAGCCGAAAAATATCAGAGTACTAACAGTGCCATGTTGCGCATGGATGGTGTCCCTGTTTGTACTTTTGGTGTGCATTGCAGAGGCCACATTTGGAGCCCTTTGTTACGGCTTAGGGTTTATTAATAGTATTGAGGCTATTGCTTAGTTGTTAAATAGTGTACTGAGTACTATCTATACTTGAGTCAAGTTCTTTATAAATTTAAAATGACTAAAGTACCTAAAACTAAAAAACACAAAAAACCATTGTCATCACCAAGTTCTCTAAACCTATCATTTACTAATATTCGTGGTCTTCGAAGTAACTTTTCTTCTGTTGAGTCTTATCTCTTGCAAAGTTCACCAGACCTACTTGCTCTTTGTGAGACTAATTTGAGTTCGGCTGTCCCATCTTGTGATCTTAGTGTTGATGGTTATCTTCCTTTAATTCGTAAAGACTCCAATAATCACATGCTTGGCCTGGGCATCTACATTCGTAAGAACTCACCCATTTGTCGTGAAACTAGGTTTGAATCTACAGACTATTCATTTATGTGCTTTCGTTTAGCACAACTTCACTCTATCGCCTTTCTCTTTGTTCTATATCGCTCTCCTTTATCCCAAGATTGCACTATTCTTGATGCTATTTCTGATCAAATTGACCAAGCCCTCTCTCTTTATCCATCGGCCAATATCGTCGTTGTTGGTGACTTTAATGCCCATCACACCGATTGGCTTGGCTCTAGTGTCAGTGACTCTGCTGGCGTTAAGGCCCTCAACTTTTGCCTTTCTCAATCTCTAACTCAAATAGTCAACTTTCCAACTCGTTTTCCAGACAACCCTAATCATTTACCTTCTCTACTTGACTTATGTCTTGTTTTGGATCCTAGTCAGTGCTCAATTTCTCCACATTCACCCTTAGGTACTTC